TTTTTTTTTTTTAATGGCGAGCACCGAAGTGAAAAATTTAAAGTTAGTGTACGTTAATGTGCTTGAATTTGGACAGATAGTGGAAACAAAATAACTCTCAAACACTCAGTCATGGCTCTAATCGCACAGTTTGTTTTAGGAAAGTTGTCTGCCAAAGCAAAGATTTTCTTTAGGCAGGATTAATTGATCCCAGGACTACGACAATACATTTCATGGTTATCATCAACTAAATTAGTTTGCAGAAGAAAAAAAAAAAAAGACTTCTGTTATATGGAAGACTTCACCCACCACGTGATGTTGCAGATTACTGAAGTCCCACAATGCTGCTGAGCATTCCAAATAAACATCACCACCTCTTCCACCATTGCCACCTAATCGATACGTAAGCATTCATCAAAGTTGAAAAACCAATCAATCTAATCAAAATGACAAAGTAAGCCAACTAATCTAATCATAGACTAAGAATGAAACCGCTCAACCAAAAATAACATATAAAATATGCACAGAGCAAAATCATGAAAAGATTCAACAATTACCATCTGGCGCGCCATGGCGGTCTGTTCGGCTCCGCCGATAGCTCCAGCACCCATTTCCTCCGTCACCTCCTTTGGCCCATAACCTAAAACGATCCACCATCCTCCTCTCCTACAAAAAACGGAAACCTCAATCGGAATAAACAATACGCACAAGATCTCCACATCGGCTAATCTTCCTTTACTGTTACCACTACTCGACCATAGATGAAAAGAAAGAAACAGAAACGAAAAATAACGGCAAAACCAATGAAAGGAGGGATTTTTCTAGCACAATTGATTCTTCAGAAGAATACCTGTAAAGGAGTTGCTTTTCCTTTTTTCTTTGCAGGCGAATCTGAGAAAGAAAGCACGGTAAATAACCGAGTGGGCTCGCATGTTGACCTAAGCAATCCCTGCGCATGAGTAAGAACGCCGCGACGCCACCACATCGCTCACTAAATTCTTAGACCTTGAATGGAGAGATTAATACCATCAAATTTGGAAGGAAAGGCCAAATTAAGCTCATTCTCCATTAAAACGTCCCCATACTATCACAGTTTAAGCAGCTCGAATTTCTTACCAATTTCTTGGTTATGTATAGATTCCTTGCCAAGAGAAACAGAGAAGAAGAAACACTGACGCCAACAATCCACGGCGAATGGAGGAATGGGATAGAGATGATGCAGCCGCCGTTGTCATCGGAGGAGATCGATTGTTGGAATCAACGAGTAGGGTTTCCGCCTAAAGAATCACTTGTTCAAAATGGGGCAAAGACACAGCTAACCTTGGCGTGTTGGTTGAGAGCTTATGCTTTCAATCAAGAGATTTTGGATTCGAATCTTTATGTGCGTTGTGTATGAATTTGTCTTAAATGACCTAAATGTAAAAAAAAAAGGCAAAGTTTATTATTATTATTATTTTATTGAGAGTTTAACCTAGATAGCACTATTTCTTTGTATGTGTAACTAAGGGCTGTCAAAAGTGGCTTTCGTGTGGGGTTCAGATCAAATTTGAAACTGATCTGACATTAACCCCACTCGAACCAGACCAATTTTTTCAAATGGGTCGATTTTTTGGACTAGAATCTGACCCACATCTTTTATGTTTTACTAAAACATTTTTATTTAATTCGATTTATTTAATCCTAAATCGAATTAAGGTAATATTTACTTCAATCAATTTAAAATAAACCAAACTTAGTTTTATTTGAGCAATGTGGTTTATTATTATTTTTGAAAATAACATTTATTTATTTATTTCATAACAATTTTTTAAAGCTCTCCTAAATTAATTAAAATGGGTCAAATTGGGTTGATTTTAGGTTTTCGGGTCAATCTGAACTCGACCCGATTTTACAAAAGGGTCGAAATTCCTAACCCAAACCCAAAATTTTCGGGTTAGGTTCGGGTCAGACTTTCGAGTTGTATCAAATATTAACACCCCTAATTATGGTATACTAAAAAACAATTATGACCAAGTCCAAGTTTAGTGGTGAGAGCTACAAGTCACCCACATGTTTTAAACAAAGTGTCATAGGTGAAGGCTACAATATACTCAATGTAATTGAAACATGTCTTGCAAGAGAGAGTTGTATCATATTTAGACTTTTGAGGTAGTTGTGCTATAGATATTGTGGGATATATAAACAACACCTTAATTCATTCGCAGACTTTTTTAAAAGGACTTGAGTTGTCTTTATACTGAAAATAATCTCCCTAGTGAACTGAACAATGGGATCTCTATAAGATTTTTTTGAAGGTTGTTCTAATTTTTATCAATAATCTTCCTTGTTAGCTATAAAGGAGTGAAGAACTCAGACCCTTGGATGCTTAAATTGTTATAAAATATTAATTCCCTTAGATTTATATATTAGTCATGCCTAGATATGGACTATCATGAAAGTTTGATAGTAACGGTTTATCTATGGTTGTAGCCGAACATATCTCTAATTGATTATTTCAAATATACTGCTTTGTAAATCTCAAACTTATGAGTTTGCTGCTTATGAGCTTGTTGATGGTCTCAAAATGAAGTTTTAGGCTTCATTTGTGGCAACTTTCTTGCTACTTTATTTTTAAGATTGCAATTATAATTTTTGTTTTGCCACCACTTTTTGCACCTTTTTTTAAAAAATTTATACCAAAAAATTGCTTTGTAAGCAGCTTTAAAAAGTTACTTTCTCTAAAACCGTTCTATAAAGTAATAAAAGGTGTTTCAAATGAGAATATATATTATGTGCGGGCACCGGACGACGTCTGGAGGCAAATCAGAGCGCGTCATGTCTCTTTTTTTGTGTACCAGGTGACGTGGCGTGTTCTGATTTGCCTTCGAACCACAAAGAATAATTTAAGTCTTAAAGTTTGGAGGAATGACAATATTTTCAAAAAAGATTCATTACCTTGAGACCAATAGTTTTTGAAAGATGGCAATAATATTTTGTATTTTTTAGATGATGGATTAATTCCTCACCCTAAGAGGAATGTTTTGCGATTAATGGAGGAAAAATATCTTAGAGAAGAAATAGATATCTTGAATTATGGCAATTGCATCAAGATGTTTGATCAATTATAGATTTATTGAATGGTCATGAACTTAATTTTGAATATTTTCCATTCAAATATGCATTGAGATTTGTGCTTGATCTAGCCAAATTTTGACGAGGTATTAGTTAATCCTCTATTTTCAGATGTCATTTTTTGTGTCATTTAAAAAAAAATTGTTAAATTTAAAATATAATTTTTTTTCCATTTGAATAAATACAAGTTATGCAAACCTAGATGTAGGTCAACCTTTACGATAATATTATCGTAGGGGTTTGAAGGGGGGCGGGGATCGCCCTTATTATGGGTTTAGGGGCGGAGCCACTAAAATGTATTCAATACATTCAATTGTCATTGCGTGTTGGTTCTTGTAAAATTTTATAGCATATATATTGCATCACAAAAATTATAAAGCATGATCATTTTATTGACGTTGATACGAACCTCCCCTTAGAGGTTGTGAAATTCTCCTTTATTATAATTTCACATTTTGTGAAAGTTGGCATTATCAATTAAAGTGAAGATTGTAATAATCCAAAATCTTACCAATTAAGATATTGTCATCTTTGGCCTAAGAGCCTCACGATTTTGTTCTGGAGGTCATTGATCCTAAAATTTCTCCGAGATGAGTACGCTTAACTTTGGAGTTTTTAATAAAATTATAACTGCTACACCAAAAGGCGCATTGATATTTAAGAATTCAGATTCTTTTTACTCAATAAGTTTTACAACCCCCTCCCCCCTCTTAAGTAACTGACATCATCATTAGTATCTTTATCTCATAATCATTCACAAGTTAGATAGGATGCTATAGGTGGATTCTACAAGTTCAAGTGGCGACTTTTGTCATATAGCACTTTGTCTCATACATGATTTAAGAGGTTATTTTCATGGTATAGTACTTTATCTTGTATGCTACTTAATTCTCATCTTTCAGCTAATGTATTGCTATAATACCATCTTTTGGTGTAATGATTGCAATTTTATTAAGAAACTCTGCAGTTAAACGTGCTTATCTCAAAGAAATCTTAGAATGAGTTGTCACAAACTAACTCGACCAGTACAAATCATATCATGTTGAGTCGTGACAGACAAGTCTAAGGTCTAGTTTTAAAATATTTCAAATTATCTTCTAATTTAAACTTTAAAAATAAATTACAGAACTACGAAAAATATTCAGAACTAAAAATAAATTCATTCATAATATATCTTTTATTTCATCAAAATATATCCACACTGTAGTACAAGGTTACGAACAAAAGTTACAAAATTGAATAATAAACTAGCTATGATTAAATAAAAATGAAAATAAAAAAAAACTTTAATTGAGATATGATCCTAAATTAATAATCAACAAGCTCATTCTTTTTTCCAAATCTTTAAAATCATAAGCAAAACCACAATGAGTTACAACAGCTCAACATGTCACACAAATCTATCTAAAATTTTAAATTCTTTTTATTAAATATTTTCTTAGGAATTTAAAAGTGATTAAATGTAGTATAATAAATTACTATACCACGAAATATAATAAGAAAATAATAATTATCTAATTATTTAAATAATAATACTAAGTAGATAAATAAATTAAAATTCATATCATAGAACAATTTATACACATTTCTTGGATCTAGATAAAATCTCAAAGAATTCTAGACCGTTATAACTCTCTTTTGTGCTTATAACATCAGAATATGCCTGTAGACATTAGAACATGACTTATAGCTATGAGAAGAATAAATGCCATGCAGAATTGGTGTTATCCTATTTTGAGATCAAATACTACATTAAGAATAAAACACTATCTCGAAAGACTAAAACTATAATCGATAATGATTTCAATATCAAAATAGTGTTTTAACAAAATATTATTTTTATGGTATATAAAACACAATTCAAAAAATAGCATATCATATCAGAAGATGAACATAAATTTTTATAGAAAATGTTTGAATAGAAAAATGAGTTTTTTTTTTTTAAATTCTGCCATTTCTATAATTAAATACAACAAAAAGAATATTATAGTACCTCAAGAGATAAACATAATATTCTATAGGGGATCTAAAGATAAGAATGAGTTTTAAAAAATGCATTATTTATAAAATCAAATGTAGCAATAAAAATATCATATCTTCTTGGAAGATAATAATGACATTCTACTAATATATTTTAACATAAAAATATGTTTAAAAAAGAATATCTTCATTAATAGAGATTTTTGCTAAAGTATAAAATAGGATTTTTTTTTTAATATGAAGTTCTCAATTCTCCATAAAAATAAGCCTATGTAGTTAATTACATCTTAAGAGGGGTACTCTTAAGAAGACTCTCAATTAAAACAGTAATTTCATACCCTTTGATTACAACGTAGAAGACAAGGAAAGAAATAAAAAATTTTTAAAGAGAAAGTTACATGTTGAACAGTTCTTAGCGAGTCAAAGGAGAAAAAGTAGGATGTGTCAGATTTTAAGAAGCTCAGAGATAACTCCAGTCTAATCTATGTTGGCCTTTACAATTCAAGAGGTGATTTATTATTCAAGTTAACATTTTATTAGAAATGTGGGATTGCATTTTTGGAGAATGATGACTTATAATCTTTGATCTATCTCAGAACCTAGATCTAAGTTATGACTACAATGTAGTAACCCAAACCTATCTGAAAAAATACAATATAGACTTATATCTTGCCTAAAATAGAGACTCATGTTTTACTCGGACGGGCTTCGCCCACCCACACCCACCCATGTTGACTTTCTGGATTTCGTACCCACCTATACCCACCCACTTTTCATGTTTTTTGAACATAGTCTGCCACAGACTGATTGGCCTTGAGGCTTGTTGTCATTTGCTATGATGGCAAACTTTTAAGTTGCATATCAAAATTTATCATACTCGTAGCGTGGTTAAGTGCTAAACAATACTTACTGATGATTGTAATAGTATAAGTAAGATATACAATGAATATCAATGTAAATCGATTTATTCCTCGATGTTTAGTACCCACCCACAAGGTCATGGGCGTACCCATACCCACCCATACCCATTGGGTATGGGTGGGTATGGGTATCAGAGCTTCCCCAAGTTCAATACCTCATTCTCATAGATCAAATTCTTTGAACTCTACACTCAGAAAGGAAAGTGTCTAAAATGAGAGTAGAACTATGAAAAATATACATGCGACCTTGGACATTCTTTAGTTTATTTTATTAGAATGATATCTTTATATGTTATTTTATTTCTAAAATTTTATTTTTAAGTTATGAATAAAAAATATTGTATTCCTAAAAGCCTAATCAAAACCTGACACATGCATAGACAATAAAGAAACTTATAACAAGTATGCAATTTCTATTATAATATATATGTTATGATGAAGACGGTTTGTGATTTGGACTTATAATTGCTCTGAAATAATTTTGTATTGTTCTAGGTAAAAAAAAAAGGGTTTTCACATGGGTGACCTCCTCAAAAGTTAACTAACATGACAAAATTGTGAAGCCCTTAAGTCAAAGCCGACAATATATTGATAGTTAAGAGTTTTAGTTGTTATAAGCAATCCACTATAAACTATTTGTCATTGTTGCATAGCTTGTTGTCGTTGCCTATGCCGACTAACCATAATCTCTCTTTGCCAATTACTGCTAGCTATTGGTCATCATCACTACGCTTGCCGACCACCAGCTATATATAGACCATGCCAATTATTGTCTCCTGTCAACCACTGCTCACTACCTACTATTGTTGGGCTTTATGCCATGTTCATTTTATTTCAAGCCAAATGAAAAAATAATTATTTGTATTTATTTTACAATAATCCAAACAACTCCAAAAACATTTGAAATACACTATATTTTTTTATATTACATTTTCTTTATCCTACATCCTTTTACAACAAACCAAATAGTCTGTAATTCAAACATTTTTCCTTTGTAAAGTTCCTCAACTCATATGGCCAACTTTAAATATTTTAAAATCTTCTAAGTGGTTGGATAATATCACAACTATGATATAACCAACTGATTAATTGAATATTCAGATAGGTTTTTTTCTTTTTTGGGCATATTATGTGAAGATAAATGGCTAGTTATAAATTTCTTAGATACTCGAGATTATGGTGGTTTTAAATGAGAAATTATTCAGAGTGAATGTGCGTGTATATAATAATAGTAATAATAATAATAGATTTATGTGCTCATTATGTTTTAGAATTATTGATCATTTCTTTAGAGTAAATTATAAATACATCTTTTGTAATCATTGTGACCTCCAAAAAATATAGTATAATTCTAAAACATAGTTGTTTACTTTGATACTCCATATATATGAGTAATTTGGTTGTTAGTGAAAGTGAGGATTTTGTCTCCTTGAATGATGGAAAATAAGTAACCCTATGGGTTCTCAAGATATGAATTAGGTTCAAGCACCAAAGTGTGGCCTCAAGGATGATTTGAACTCAATTCAAAGTCATCTGGGTTGCTTTAATGTTGTATGATGACTCAATTATACTCACTCTTCAATATGATTTTAAACCAACTTAATTTTCCATGCTTGTCTCAATTCAACTGTGATTAGAGTCAAAGTTGCATCTCTAAGTATTTTTTTTTATTGATTTTGATTTGATAGAAAATATATATATTTTTTCATGCTATTTTTGAGTCATATCACGTAATCATTTTTATATAATTATTTGAATCATAAAAAATTTAAATTTGATCCCGTCATGACTTTCTCACCCCTTTCGTCTCTATCACAACATCTTTTTTTTTGTGATTAGGGCATCTCCAACAGTAAAACTCATTTTTCACTCCAAAATACAGCAAAGTTAAAAAATATAGTATTATATCTCTCTAACTAAATTTTATTTCTTAACAAAAAAAAAATATGTGTCTATTTTTTTTTTACATTTTTTAATATTTATTTTTTAACATATAAAATTGGCATCTGTGAACAGTGCGATGCCAGTATTGCCGTCACTCTGTTCTCTTTTGAATTTCGGCGTACGATTTAGTGTTTGAATGGAGTGAATGACCGATCGGATAACATACCACCATATGTATTTTGATTGATGATGATATTAGGTGTTTCAAAATGCGGATACAATATAAACAGAAAGAAAATTTATAGTGTTATATTATCTAAATAGTAAAATTTAGATTTTAAATGTATAAATAAAATAATTGTAAGTGTTATGGATGTAAGAAAATGCTGTACCCCACCGGGCTTAGGTGGGTTGGTGGGCGTGCTTAGTTGGGAACCCCCATCCTAAGTTCGAATCCTCTCTCATATGGCACGACTTCTTAAGTGGAGAGAAAAAACTGTGGGTCCTGCACCTGTGGGGTTGGTTGCTGCAGACTCGCCGAGGGATTAGTGGACATCGCCAAGCGCGTCACAGGCTGACGTGGCAGAGGGGTGTCGAAAAAAGAAAAAAAAAAGAAAATGTTGCATGTGGCAGGCAACCAGAATTAGAAATAGTGTCTAGGCGCCAAGGCGACCGAGCCTGGGTGGCAACCAAGCAATGAGCCCATCCAGGCAGAGAGGGAGACAGAGAATCAGAAATGGCCAGGGGCGCACAGCTCGCGGGCGAGTCTCTTTTCTCTGGACTGTATTTCCTTTTATAACCGAGAACTTCATTGGACTCATTTGTCCTCCCTCTCTCAATCTCTCTTCCGAAGCTTTTCAATTGCCGACCCACATCGATTGACCCTTTCTGCACTTCATAATTGCTTGCAATCTGGTATTGTCTTCGCAATCTTCGATTCTCGTCCAGGAAATTTTTGATTCGTCTTAAGCTTTCTTGATTTGATCGTGTGATTGCGCCGCTCTTGCAGAAGCGGATCTGAGGTTTTCCAAAGGGAAATACGGTTCTTAGCGCGTTGACCGGTGTGTTTCTCCTGCAACGCTTCGTACGATTCTTCCATGGCTGCTCCACCTGCTAGGGCTCGGGCGGATTACGATTATCTCATAAAGCTCCTTCTGATTGGCGATAGCGGTGAGAGTTTACGTTTCCTTTTTCTATGCTGCTTGTGAATCCGATCGCTCTGTTAAGCTTTTGGTTATTTTGGCATATAAAGGCATGGGATTGGTTAGTTTTTTTTTTCCCATGATTTATTTGGTTTGGCATTTTTGAGGGCTGGTTTATTTAGTTTGGGAATTCGTTATTGTAAGCTTTTCCTGGGTTTTGGGATGGATTCTACGGACTGAAAGTTGTAAGATCTCCGATTGCTTGCAAGGTTTTTGGAAATTCGGAGTTTCCGTCAGTGATCTGGTATTCGTATTCAGGAGCAATTATATTTATTGTATGTTTTTCTCAAAGATCAGGGGGTATTAGCTGTTGACCTTTGCCCTAAAAAGTATTGCATGGAAGTTTGTTTACTTTTTGTCATGCTTCTTTTTCTTGTTTAATCTTAGTTGTAAAACATAGGCGATCTAATCTCTTGGCCTTTTTTTGAGTTCTTTGTCCTCTAATATCCCAAAAATACTGTTGTTTTCCATGTTCTCTATCATCAGCATATGATTTTCTAGTCGTGGTAGTCTACTGTATTCTTTGCCTTACCCCCTTTCTGTCCACTTTTTTGGCTGGGGTTTTCTCAACTCCTTTTTCTTCTTGTTCCGTTGTATTCGATGCAAAATTTAGATCTTTTTCTGTTTCCAGTCTAAGCAATTGTGCAGCAATGGTTCATTTCCTAACTGTCTGTTCATTTGTAGGTAAAGAATAATCCTCATTTACTTATTTAGCTACCGAGGAATCTATATTGCCATGCTAAACCTAAGGAACTTCTTTTTGTGAACATTGCTTTGACTGTGGTGACATATTATGAATGCTAAAAGATGCATACAAACTTTCTTTTGTAGTTTGAAATATATTTTGGGAATTCTTGATAAAGCTAATATGATATGCCATGCATAGACATGCAGGATTAAGTATCATGATTACTTCTTATCATATCTTACGCTTCATGTGTTGGGCAAAGTATTTAGATGATTCATTTTCCATGTACAAAGCTTACACACTGCAACGACCTACTTTCATCTAACACCAATAGATTATGCAGACTGCTGCAAAATTTACATGAGCCAATTTGTGGTCTTTGAACTTAATCAGATGATAACTATTAAAATTTGTTATAATACTTGGGCTATATGTAATATTTTTCTTGCTTCATTCTTACCATTTTTAACTATAATTTGGCTACCAGTGCCATCTTGTTGCTATATATCTATCTATTGGGAAGTCACATTTTAGCCATTGTTGTATGGTTTTATTCCTTTTGTTTCTTTATATATAAATTCAAAAACTTTAAATTATTTGGTTTTGTTGTTTGTTATGAAACATATTTATGTACATCTTCTATTTTTCATTTTTTATCTTTTGCCTTTACTAGATCCCAAGCCCAGGACGAGAAAAGTGAAGGGTTGTGTTGGGTAGTTGACAACTACTGTAAAACATGTTGAATAATCATGAAATGAATCATTTAATATATTGTGTTAATGTTAGGGCGTTCTGTGAAAATGACACGCTGTATGACTTGAATACAACAAGAAATGTGCAAGGGCCGCTACACTAGCGCCCTGATGCATTATTAAATTAGCAAGCGTTCCCACATCATGGACGGGTGTGAGCAAAGAATCTAGTCCATGAAATTAGGATCATGATAGAAACTTGGAATATATGTTCTCTTACTGGTAAATTAATGAAATTAAAAGATATTATGATTTATAGGAAGATAAATATTTTATGCATTCAAGAGACTAAATGGGTTGGAGAGAAAGCTAAGGAGATTGATAGTTGAGGATTAAAACTATGATATTCGAGTAAGAGTTATACTGGAAATAGTGTGGATGTCATTATAGATAAGAGTTTGAAGGATAATATTATAGAAATTAATAGAATTGGAGATAAAATTATAACGTCAAAGATTGTTATTGATGATTAGATTATTAACATTATAAGTGTTTCTGCTTCTCAAGTAGGTTTGCATATGTGATCAAAATTAAAATTTTGTAATGACTTAGAAGACTTAATACAAATTATACCTCTTGAAGAAAAAGTTTTTATTAGAGATTTAAAATGGACATTTTGGTAGAGTGATAAAATATTTTAAAAGCTTTCATGATTGCTATAGATTTTGCTTTAGCTTATAATATTTTGATTGTTAATAGCTTATTTAAGAAAAAAAAGGAGTACATCATCACTTATAAGAATGGATATAATAAAATTTTGATTATTTTTTTACAAGAAAATTAAACCGTTTAAATCACAAAGATTGTAAAGTCATTTCGAGTGAAAATGTATGTATCCAACATTATTTATTAGTTCTGTACTTTAAGATGAAGGGGCATAATATGAAAAAAACAGTACAATGTTGTCTTAGGATTAGATCGTGGTATTTAAAGAACACAAAAAAAATATATTTTGGAGAGTAATATTCAAGATCTTAAGATTTTGATTGTGTTCTAGAAAATTAATGTTAAGTAGAAAAAAATAACTATTATATTAAGAATGTTGTAAATGATGTGCTGACAATATCAAAAGAAAAAACCCTTATTAGTAAAAATAGTTGGTGATAGAATTAAAATTTGCAAGTAAAGATACAACAATAACTACTACAACAACAACAAGCCTTTATCTCACTATTTGGGGTCGGCCACATGAATCCTTTTTCTCCATTGTATCCTTTTAAGGATCAAATTCTCATCTAAATCTAATAAAGAAATGTCATTTCTAATATATTCTAACCAAATATTTTTAGGTTCGCCTCTACCTTTCTTAATATTAGTCAAATATAATACATCTACTTTTCTAACCAGGTTATCTGAAGGTCGTCGTTTTATGTGACCAAACCATCTAAGGCGGCTCTCTCTAATCTTATCTTCTACTGGGGCTACTCCAACCTTTTCACGTATGTGCTCATTTCGTATTCTGTCTTTAAGAGTAAATCCACTCATCCACCTGAGCATCCTCCTAATCTCTGCAACACTTAACTTAATATTATTCTTCTCTTTTAACGGGCAGCATTCTGCTCCATAAAGCATTGCATGTCTCACTACCATCTTATATAATTTTCCCTCAAGTATGAGAGGGACCTTTTTATCACATAACAAGCCCGATGCATTCCTCCACTTCAACCATCCAACTTGAATTATACTACTAATATTCCCATATATTTCACCATCACTCTGCACAATAAACCCAAGATATCTAAAACTTGTGCTCTTATTAATGACTTGATCGCCCAAAGTCACAATCCCCACTCCAGATATAGTATTACTAAAATTACATTCAATATATTCATTTTTAGATCTACTCAAACGAAAGTCTTTAGACTCTAAGGTTAACCTGCATAATTCATGTTTACCTTCAACTCCCTCTCTAGTCTTATCAACAAGAAAAATATCATCAGCATGAATCCAAATTGATTTTGAGAAACATTAGTGTCGCGCTGCAACCTATGCTCCATAAATCTCTCCCATAGTTTTAAACTATGGTACATTAATTTAATTCTTATATAATTCACATAATCTTGTGCATCACCTTTATTCTTAAAAATAGGAATCAACACACTCATTCTCTACTCATATGACATCTTTTTAGTCTTCAAAATAATATTAAAAAATTTAGTAAGCCAAGAAATTCTTTAATCTCCTAAACATTTCAACACTTCATTTTCTTTAAAACCTCTTTAACTTCGGTTTTACTAATACGCTGATAAAAACAAAAATCTTTTATTTTCATTTAGGATGCTAAGACCACTTAAATCAATTGCATTATCACAATCTTCATTGAAAAGTTTAACAAAATATCTTATCCACCTTTGTTGAATATCCATTTCTAATAAAAACACTTTTTGATCTTTATCTTTAATACATGTCACTTGAATTAAATCCTTACCACTCCTATCTCTTTATTTGGCTAACTTATGCACATATATTTGTCTTCCTTAATTTCTAATCTATTATATAAATCATTAAAAGCTAAAATCTTTGTATCGCATATTGCTTTTTTAGACTTCTTACGGGTCTCTCTTTATATTTTTTCCAATTATCAGAATTTTTACATGCAGACCAATTTTTATAACAAATCTTTTTATTTTTTATTTTTTTCTTGCACATTTTGATTCCACCATCAACTATTTTTTATTATTAGAGTTTTTTTTTTCTTTGATAATCAAAGTATATCTTTTGCAACATTCTTAATATCACTAAGCTATTTTTCCCACATAATATTTGCTTCCTCATGCATTGACAAAATCTTAAGATATAGAATCATCTCGGCATGCACTCAGATACATATATAAAATAAACCAACTATTAAAAAATAATTGCACATAAATTTATCCTGGATGCAATTCTTTTGATGAGAATAAATGCGAAGATTTCCATTAAGACTGCTTGCCCTTTAGGAAGCTATTGCATTCTTGTTAGCATTTCATATTGTTTTTGACATAAAACTTGTATATTTCACATAGAGGTGGTCTTGAGTTGAGTTAGTACAAGCTGGCTTCTACTCAAAATCAAAAGTTTCAATTTCAACTCGAGTGAAGTTTGAATTGAGAAAAAAAAAAGATCAGTTATGAGTTGATCTTAAAGATGATTTGAGATAAATCTCTTAGTTTATAAGATATATTATAATAAAACTTCATCTTAATTTAAAAAATTATTTTCTAAATTCCTAATAAATAAACGTGTGCATCTATGCATATGTTGAATCCATTTCGAGTTGAGTAGAAGTAATTTTGATCAAATGTCGAGCTTCACCGGCCCTATTTCTGTGCATCACTTTTCATCCTCAATAACATTTTTTGGGTACCTTTTACCTTCTGTGACTGAGAGTTCTGGATTCAATTGTTTTTTTTTGTTCAGGAAATCAATCAATTTTATGTTTAATTTGATGTCCACTTCACGCAACATTATCACTTACTAAATTTTGAGGCGGAAACTACACATTCTTAGAAATTGAGGCATTTATTGGAGAGGTGGGAGTTCTTGTTT